CCCAATGGGAGAGCGGACTAGTAGCGAGAAAATCTGCATGAATACTAATTCAGCCTCTCGGCTTTAACAGCTTTCGCAAACCCATCTCAAAGGAATTCACCGAACATGATGTCTTACCATATTAATTACTCCATGGGCATGAAGCGGAAAAAAGAGGCAGAGATCACAGGAAACCTATAAGGAGGGACTTGCTGCTCCAACTTAAATGTGGTTAATTATAATTTGATTTTGTGCATTAGATGGAAGGGCCCAGTGGTCCTGACTGAGTGATGCTGAGAGTTCCACTGCTATGGATCTGTGTTCTCTGCTATATGTTACATATGTACAGCTTACTGTTGCATTAGGGGAAATGCACAAGCCAATACATCTTGTGCAAAGAACATTCCTCAGTAGAGAAATTCATTCATACAGATGCCTCGTATCAATGTCTTTGCTCATGGTGTGGAGCCAGTAAGGCATTTTCCTTTTGCTTACCAACAAGTTGGTGAGAAAGTCATAAAATGATTCGGATATTTCCAAATCATAAACTTTTACTCTACTATAGTGTTTGATGTATACATACTTTCATTTAAAGTTGTTGCTTTTAATGCATTTTTCATAATGTTCACAATCATTTTAATTGATTGATTATCATATAGTCTGATGTTGAACAACAAATTGTTTGGTCTATAGATTTTAAAAACTGGTTTGATTGTTTTAAATTTCATGTTCAAAAAGCCATAATAAATGACCATTAAAATATACTGTAGCTGTTTAAAATATGCATTCAAAGTGTTTGTGTGTATGCATCACCTGGTGGAATATGATAGGAAGACTGGGTCATAATTTCACAGTATGATACATAATAAGCAAAGGCCGCCAAATTACTATAGTCAAGTCATCTTCATTTATATAGCGCTTTTAACAATGTTGTTCCAAAGCGGATTTACAGCGATAATAGAAAATTAAAGTAACAGATTGTTTTGGCTTTATGGCAGCTCTATACCTCAGCCAAAGGTCAAAAGGTCAGATACAGTACCAATTCAGTTATACTGGAACATTTGATGAAGATTACATGTAGGCTGCAGGCTGTGCGGTCCATTGCATTACGTTAAATAATTTATTTTAAATAGCTTTTTGGTAACACTTTATAATAACTACACGCTAATAATCATTAGTTAAGCATGAGTAAACGGTTAATTCATCATTCATAAATAAGCAGTTCATAAATACAGCTATAAATGCTTTCTTCTTGATTTAAAAGCATGTCTATAATTTGTTTAATAAATCTATTTTCATCTTTATTAATTTCGAAATGAAGAATTGCATTTTTTTTCAGAGTTTTCAGTGATTCATAAGATTACTTAAACTATTTAAATATACATTCATACATCTTATTATTCAGACACATAGTGACGGTTACTTAGTGTGTTGATAAATGCTTTATTAACATGTATTAATGCTGTAATTCAGGCTTAATTCGGGTAGTTATAAAGCATTTGGTTGTGGTCAGTTAACTATGTTTGTGAGCTCATCTAAAGTGAGGACTAGTCATGCCTTGTAAAGCATTTATAAAGGAGATTTAAAGGCCGTTAAATATTTCTATGTTCTGCATCACTGTGTTTTGTCTGTTACATTTGACTGTTTAGAACAGGGGTTCTCAACTCCAGTCCTCACGACCCACTGCTCTGCATATTGTGTATCCCTGCGTCCCAATTCGCTTACTTATACTACGCCCTAAAAGTATGTACTCTTTCTGTGAGGAAAAAGTACATACTTTTGAGTGTGTAGCAAAAGAGTAGGCAAGCTTTGGGACATACCATCACGTCATCTTTAACGGGCAGCTCTGTCGCGTGCTGCGTGCATCCTGTCACCGTAAACTGCCCTGTCAATCATCTTGTCACGGTTAAAATCCTCCATTCTATCTAATTTGATTTCCTACTGTTTCGGGAGCACATTCATCTGCCAATCGTGGGTCTTTAATGCGGATACTTTCCTCGTGTTTTGCTATTTGAATATAATGATGCATTTAAAAAGTAATGGCTAAACGTATCCTTACAAAAGTTCACAATGCTGCTGCAGATGCAATATAATGTGGAGAACATTGAATAAATTATTTTCGTTAAGTTAGATAGTGATAATTAATAACTCAAACCTCTTTATCTAAACATCCCAACATAACCGCGGGACTCGCGCGACCTCCGTGTCTGTAGTTTTTTTTTTATTTTTTATTTTTTTTATTACACTTTTACTCGTGTTTGTAGTTCTCTAACCGAATCCTCGTCCAACGCGCAATGGGTTGTGGGCAACATCAGGCGTAAGAGTGTGCATCGATCTACACTTCGGATTCTGACCGGAAAAAGTAGACCATCCGGGTATCTTTGAAACACTCATTTCAACATACTACGGTTTGGGACGCACTAATTCTATTTTCGAATACTATTTAGGACGGATAGTATGCGAATTGGGACGCAGCATTCAGATACTCAGCTCGTTAGGACTTGAGTTGAGAACCCCTGGTTTAGAAGATTGAGGCACCTTTAAATCTCCTTTATCCACAAGTTTCCTACGCCCCATGAGGCCTTGCGTCAAAAGTGGGCGCGACTTCCGGTTGGAAGTAAACAAAGCGCGATTTGACATGCTTGACACTCGTTCATTCAACAGTTGACAGTCATTCAAGTTATAGCGATCCAAACTAGCTAACGATGTGGGAACACAACCTCAACGAAATTAAAAAGGGTGAAATAACAGTACCTTTACCCTCCGCAGTAGTTGATTGGCAGTATTATAATAACATTATTAATAATCAATACTCATCAAGGCATGGTGACAGACAGTTGTGTGAGCTGACAAACAATTAAAATAAAAAATACACACTTAGTCATTGTGCTTTGGAGTTTATTCAAAATTATAAATGAATGTGCTACTTGAATACATTAACTGGCACATTTGGTATTCTGTCAACAGAGGCTTTGATCCTGAGTTTAGGCGCAACATCAGTAGAGAACAGCCAAACACATGCTGATAGAGTTTATAGAACATTAAGAATTTAAACAAAATGTACACAGGAAGATTCGTCGTCTTTTGGGAGGTGATGGAAACTACAGTCGTTGGCAGGATCAGAGACGGGCTCTGGCAGAATCACTCTGATTTCGTTTTCAGCTTATGTTCAAAACAATCCCGTTTAAGCCACTGAACTAGTTTAGTCCGGTTATATATACAACCGCGAGCAGCACATGTTGTCCCTGAGCTCCGTAACGACATCTCTCATAAAGATTTGCGTCTTTAAATAGTAAAATAATTCTCCGAAAAACAGCTAGCCTCTTCGCTAACTAACACACAAAATACCATTGGAATGCTACTTCAGCCGCGTCACCGGAAGTTTCACCCACTTTATTTTTTACAGGAGCGCCCCTCGGAAACTTGTGGATAAGGCATGAATAGTCCTCACTTTAGGTGAGCTCACAAAATAGTTAACTGACCACTACTAAATTCTTTATATCTACCTGTATTTACTACATTTACTTACACTTTCTGAGTGATCTTATGAATGACTGACAACTCTTAGGTTATGTTTACACGGAAACGATTCTGAAGAAAAAAGGCAAAAGTGGCGTTGCGTCATCACTTTTTATTCTGTTTAGACAAGCGTTTTGTGTGGGAAATCCGCGTGCAAATGTTGACGCAAAAGTATGTGAAATTCAAGTATGCACTTCAGGTGGATAGGAGTGCATACTACAACAACACCAAGTCTGCGCGCCTGCGTACAACCTTCACTGTCAAGCAGACTTTTGCGTTTTTACCCTTTACACGGGAACGCGGCGGTGGAGCGTTTTTAAGATTTCCACTCTGGAGGGTGGTTTCACTTTTTTGCGTTTTTAAGCCTCAAAAACGCCGTCGCCGTGTAAACGAAAGGCACATCCGATGAAAAATATTTTGACGTTTTCACCCGCGAGCGTTCTCGTGTAAACAGGGCTTCAAATAACTGGTTTGTAAATAATGCTATACTTCATTTACAAATTATTAATTGATCATTAACAATGTATGAAAAGACTATTATTAAACGAATTATAGATGCTAATAAATCAAGAAAAAAGCATTTATAGCGTTATTTATAAACTGCTTATTAATGTCTATTAATGCTTCATAAATGATGAATGGGCTCTATGCACGGCGTTATTTCCGGTGAAGGATTAAGGATGCTCGATAACTTCCGCCGATCATAGAGTCCAATGCAATACCGAGAATTTATATTGAATTTTATACTCCATGGTTATACTAATGAAACGTTAGTCACAAAAACAGATAAAACAGACACCCCTCGTTGTGTTTATGCTTCTTTTTAAAATTATATTAAATAAACATAACTATATATAAAATTACATCTAAACGTATGTATGTTTCGTTTCAAAGACGGGAGGACAGTAAATATTGAAGACTCTGCCATAATCCCGTTTTCTCCGGTTTTCCTCCGCTTTAATCTACACAACCGGAAATGGACGAGCATCCTTACGTCAAATGCGGAACTTATGCGTGCATATAGCCCATTAACTGTTTACTCGTGCTTAACAAATGATTACTAGCGTGCAGTTATTATAGTGTTACCAAGCCGGTAAGACTGTACATTACAGCACTGAGCGATTTGAAACATGTAAAAGAAAACGTACAACCCCCCCAAAACAGCACAAAAGCAAGTTTTAAATGAACGACAAGTTATTTCAAGTGTGATCAGTGTGGATTTTTTTGCACTGAGGGTTTTTGAAATGCTACTTTTGTGAAAATAGTTCCAAAGTGATTAAAACACTTTAAAATACAGAGACATGTTTTTTGGAATGCTCAAAATGTATGTCTATTGCCAAGGTCATGCAGACTCAATGAAAAACAGGCATAATGAAAAATATACACGTTGAATGCGTTGTACGCCACTTTTTATGACAACGCTTGCTCAATGAACTGTATAAAATGACCTGTACTTTGGGAAATGCAGGCTCTTGTTTTTTTTTGTTTTTTTTCTGGTCCAAAAAATCTAACTGTAGTCAGATGGAAAGTGAATTCACTGAGATCACAACATTCATATTGCACTAATGATTGTTCGTGTATTAGAACACACAACACACTACAGTACATTTAGTCTTTATAATCCCAAGAAAAAGATTCAATATTATGTGCAGCCCACAAATCCTACTGGCATATTACAAAATGGCTTTTGCTTGGACGCCTATAAACCCTCTTGTTAGGTAAACTGTAGGTTTCTAAGTAAAAGAAGGTATAATTATCGATATCTGTGTGAATCAAAACGTGAAACGTGGATTTGAATGATGAAAAGCGTGGCCTTTGTGTCTTCGCTGAACATCCTCAGAAACACTGTCAGAGAAACCACAGGCGAGTAAATGAATATTTCATTAAGGTCTATTGAAACAGAAGATCAAATGACCTTGTTTTAAATCATTATTCCCTGATAAAAATAAAAGTGGATAGGGGGAGAGTGGAAGGGACACACTTGAAACTTCAACTTGTCGAATAAGCGTGAATAAATTACACAAACATGCAATATGCAAATAGCACAATGCTGGCATATCATTGTTAATGAGAGTGTTTAACTTCCCTACTCGCTTTCATCTAGGTCTTCCTTTCTTTTATTGGCTGAGATTGTTCCCAGAAACAAAAACAGACATGTCTGGCCTTTGCTGCATAATATATTGTTTATCAGCAGAATACAAGTTTAGATTAGGCGCCTAGTGATGCTAGCAATTTAGCCAATTAAAAAGGAAACAAGCTTTAAATTAGCAGAACTGCATGATAATTGAGAACAAAAATCATGTTAACATTTAAAGAAAGTACGGTATATATACACACACACAAATATTTTTTTATATATATATTTTTCAGCTATTATAAGAATGAAATTATTTTAATTAGGTTACACTGTAATTATACATTTAAGTACAGAGAAATATGAATTAACAAGTACTTAGTGTAGTAATATTAGTAAATTATGAATAATTGCATGCAAGTATGTAACAAGAACACTAAAATAAAGTGTTAATTATTTTTTCCAAATTAATAATAACACAATTATTAATAATAAAACCATATATATATATGATTAAATATCATTCTGCCAAAGAAGGCACTTTTGTGGGGTATGAGTGACAGTCACACACACCCCATGCACAACACAGGCTTTCTTAATAAAAGAAAGACTTAAACATGTAGACTTGACACCTTTTATTCATTAAATGATTGGATTTTCCAAACTGAGCCTTGAAATAGCGCACGATACGCCATTATATACAGGCAGATCATTTAAACTGAGAAAGTCTCGGAATCTGAATGCTTTAATGACCTTCCCTGCTGAGACACCTTCATGCATGTTTATAAAGTGGCTCAGTACACACATTTTTGCAAAAGAAATCTGAGCATGGTCTATTTTGAAACAAAACACTCTCTCCGTTTTGATGTGACCTCATTTGCAAGTCACACTCTGTGGTTTTATGATTATTTTGTGCCATTATTACACAGTTCCTTTAAAAAGCGTTTATCGCGTTGTTACGGGCCGGCACAACGTAACTCTCTCGCTCGGCTTCCTCCATCACACAAGTATCTGTTGACATGATCCTTAACACAGATATTATGTGAGGGGAGCTTTTTAGCAATCCCCAAATTATGCAGGCGCGTTCTGACGCGTGCGGGTCAAGGCTGGCTGGAGCCATTACGGCTAATGAGAGTGGAGTCCTACTCTCGCAGGTTCGGCCTCATAAAGTTACTTAAAAGCTAACTAATGGAATCATACTGATGGATAGAATGCTGCAGGTTTTGTCTCATTACAGGATAACATGCCCGTGTGCATGTTAAATATACCAGCATCAATGATGAAACCTAATGAACCCGGGAGCCACAGACAAAATTGACAATCCCCCGTCACTGGCGATGTAGATTACAGATGGCTGGGGAAACAGATCCGGAAATCCACGCGCTGCAATTTTAGTTCGTAATGTTATTTTCAGGTCCATTAGAAAAAGGGTTACAGTCGCTCTCACTGATTGGCTGTTTTTGGGAAAAATAACCGTTATTACTGTAATGATATTGCCGTGTTTGATCGGTGCTCTTTTCAATGCCCAATCATAATTATCCATCATTTTGAGTCTAAAAATAAGCATTAGAGGGAACAACTTTTAACAATTAATCGAAGCAAGCATGTCTACCAGAGATGCTAGCAGAGAATAAAGTGTGAATATGAACAATAGCACATTTTAAAACCGGCCGAATTTTGAAAGTGGGCGCCCATCGTCGCGTTCGGCTGACGAAAACGCCCTTCTACCAGCGCAAATACAGAGAGCGTTTGTTTCTATATTGAGATGAGCACAACGCATTTTGTCCTCCTAAATGGGCCATGGGCACTTGAGTGAGTTCAAAGGTGTTTTAGCAGCATGCAGAGTGGCCATTGTGCACTGGCTTTTTTTCATGGGAGTTGACTCAGAGCATTCCACTCCAACTCAACGCCAGATACCTGCAGCATCTAAACTGCGTAATATTCAACACAGTGCAAAGGAATCACTTTAAAAACCAAGTTTAATCTATTTCAACCAGGTCCAAGTGTTGTTCAGCTAAAGAGACTCAAGCAGGGTTAACCCAAACATGTTTTGAAAACCCTTCACAGTCTTTGGCCACTATAAAGTGGATGGCTCTTTTTTGTTTTCACGGAATGTCGCACTCATTCCTCGGTGAAGATTTCTGTTTGTTTTGCGATCGCATAAAGGCATCTCTTTCAAACATATTAACTGCTCATTGGGGGAAAAAAATGTGACAGTGTGAACTCTGAGAAAAAAAGAAATATCAATCATAAAAATCATCAAAGTCGTGGCTGCTGGTGTTGCGGGACTGAGGACGCAAGGCCATTTCGATCTCAGAATTGCTGTCGTCTGATTCTCCCCAAAACGCTGCAATCAAAAATATGTACGCACACCATTAACATTCCGTTGCAGTAAGGGGGAAGTAATGAATTTGCGCTCGAGCGTGATCCGCAACAAAGTAAATAATTCCAGAGACACTGGTACAAAACAACAAAAAGCAAATAAAAACTAAAAACTAAACGTAACCAGACATACTGGGCAATTTTTGGAAACTTTGAAATGAGTCTCTTATGCGCCCAGTAATAATGTGAAAAAATATTATATTATGTTTTTTAAATAATGTAATGTATTCTCCTGTGATCAAAGCTGCATTTTCAGCATCATTACTCCAGTCTTGATCCTTCAAAAATCATTCTAATATGCTGATTTGTTGCTCAAGAAACATTTCTGATTATTATCAAAGTTTTGCTGCTTAATAATTTTTGTGTGTGTGTGTGTGTGTAAACCATGATACACCAGCATTCAAAAGTTTTTAAAAATATCGGCAAGGATGCATTCAATTGAACAAAAGTGACAGTAAAGACATTTACCATGTTACAAAATACTGAACATTTCGAATAAATGCGGTTCAAATCAAAGAACCCTGAAAACACGTATCATGGCTTCTACACAAATATCAAGAAAACTATTAAAATAATTGATAACAGCATATTAGAATGATTTCTGTAGGATCATGTGACTGAACACTGAAGTAATAATGCTGAAAAATTCAGATTTGATCACACGATTATATATCGAAATAGAAAACAGTTCTTTAAAAATGTAATAATATTTCACAACACTACAGTTTTTAGTTGAGAGAATTAAAAAAAAATATATATATATATATATTAATTATTCCAAACTTTTGCCTGGTAGTGTATTCAGAAAATAAATAAATCTGATTGTGGAACATAAGCATAATATCGCATTTTTAACATATTTGAGTCATTTGTACAGTGGTCTTACCCTTTGACTGGACAGCAGAGAAAGCTTTACTTTTCGCACTCTTCCTGTGAGAAATGAAAAACAAGAGATTGTGAGACTACACATTTTCTTACTTGTTTGTAATTATAAACATTTTATCTAAAAAGAAAAAAAAGAAAGTCAAATGTAAAAACCATCTCATTCAATCAGTCGCTCAACATCAGTTCAGCCACAACACACAACAACATGCTCCCGGAAGCCATCATTTCTTACACAACATCGTCTTTTCTTTGCAAGGTACTAACCAAACTCAGAAGAACATCATTTCCCCTCTAAGCCTGTTTCTCAGATGGGGTGATCGGCCAAGTAAACTTCCTTGACTTCTTTTCTAATGGCACTGAAGGACCCGGCCAAGGCTCTCTATTCACAAGTGCGCTGGGTTGCCGGGTTCCTGGGTTCCCATAGCATCACTGATATCTATGTAAATGCATGACCCCTGACAAGCCTTTGATCTGCATTGATGCATATGCAAAAGCTCGCGCTACTTTTCATACAGCCTTCCTTCTTCATTTACATCAGCACAGGGCATCCATTCAGACCTCAACAATGACGTCTTCATCTTCACCCTCATCCTCGCCGTCCGTGTCTTCATATATCCATATCATTGATTTTGTTTTCGCGCTGATGTACTTTAAAGGATTCAGGGAGCAAGAGTAAGAATATCTAGTTTTCCTTTGATGGTTTTGGATGAAAAGATGAAACAGCGGTTGTATGTGTATTCACACGTACGCTCAACCTTGACACTGACCAAAGGAGCTGTAAAGACGTAGTTGAACTCAATTAGGTTGGCTCTCACATTATTCAGCTTAGCTCTTTTGTTCCAGAACATTTCTGCACAAGGCACAACATTTCAGAAATTCGATTGATGAATGAATGCAGATGCTATGATAAGAGTCAAACAAATCACCTTTGGCTCAATACAAGAATACAACAGCAAACTTATGAATAGTACAGCATCAAAGTTACAGTTGACGGATACAAAAAGTGCCACGTAGATGTATTCAGTCCCGAGGTCAAGGGACATTTCTGGCATAAACTCATAAAAAACCTTTCTGAAACAGATACTGGCGGCTGAATTCTTTTTATAGACTATTTAGGCAGCAATTTTGCACAGCACAACAATACAACAGAAATCATTATCAATTTCTATTAAATATTATCGACAAATTGTGGAAATCAGGATACTTTTTTTTTTGTCAGAATTTCTTATAAAAATGGTTTATTCGAAGCGGAATTCCTTTAAAGCATTATAAAGGTTCAACTGTTACTTTTGATCAATTAAATGCATACTTTCTAAATAAAAGTATATATATATTATCAAGTTTTGTCCTGTCCTGGTGTATAAACTGAAAAAAAAATAAATACTTTAGAGAGTTCGACATAATACATTATTCAAATAATTATTCGTATAACATTATTCGAAAAAAAAAAAAAAAACTAACATATTATGTCTAATCTCCCTTTCTCTGTTCAAATTGAAAATATGGGAAGCCATTCTCTTTTTTTGAATATTGAAAGCTAAAGAAAAATCTAGAGGGCTCCCCCCCCCCCTTTAGTCATGATGAGCTCAATAATAAATACATGTTTTGGTGGGTAAATAGGGCTATTCTTTTCTATAACTTGCTTGCCATGGGAATGCTCGATCCGCGGCTAGACCACTTCTGACAGTGACGAGTCTGATTTCAAGACACTATTATCACAGAGAGCTGTGTATGCACTGACCCTCCAATCTAATATTCCATTTCCATAAACATTTATGCCAGTTCATCTTGCACTGAGGTTCACTTAATTGAGGCAACGAATCTGAATATGTAAGACAGGGCTGGCCACTGTTTGGCTGCTTCTCATACACAGAGGTGAATGTAATGTGTAAAATGATGCAAATTACTGCTTTGACGGCAACCTCTCTCTATTTCCCTCCGCACCAGCGTTTACTTTTTCCGCTCTCCCTCTTTTCCGCATTGTTTTGAGCATTTGGATGTATTTGCGATATTTGATGAAAAGTGCCCTGTGCGTTTTTAGGCAAGCATTTGATACATTAATATATGGGGTGTGTGGGTTGTTGTTATGATATCTGAGCTATGAATAAAAGACGTCTCTCAGCATCCTATGCAGCAATGTGCGTCATGCAAATAGGCTGCAGTTAGTCTGCATTTGTTGTCTGGACAAAGTTATTTTCATAATACCTGTGATCACGTACGATTACAGCTCTTCTATTAGTTTTGATGAAAGTGTATCATTGTAATATCATTCCTTTTGAAATATGCTGTTTATAAAGGGGAAACATATACGTGTCTTGTCAAATATTACTGATATTCACTTATATTTATTAAAGGGTTAGTTCACCCAAAAATGGAAATGAAAATTACTCACCCTCGTGTTGATTCGAACCCGCAAGTTTTTCGTTCATCTTCAGAACACAAATTAACATCTTTTTGCTGAAATCTGAGAGCTTTCTGTCCCTCCATAGACAGCTATGCAACTACCAATGTGACGCTTCAAAAAGTTCATAAATAGTAATCCATATGAATTGAGCGGTTTAGTCTAAATTTTCTGAAGAGTCTTTAACACTTTAAATCAGTGTTTCTCAAACTTGGTCCTGGAGGGCCACTGTCCTGCAGAGTTTAGCTCCAACCCTGATCAAACACACCTACATGTGAGTTTCTACTGATCCTAAAGACCTTGATTAGCTTGCTCATGTGTGTTTGATCAGGGTTGATCAAGAACCAATGAGGATCATTCTCGTGTTACGCAGCACGTTTGAGCTTCAGCAAGAACCAATGAGGATCATTCTCGTGTTACGCAGCACGTTTGAGCTTCAGCAAGAACCAATGAGGATCATTCTCGTGTTACGCAGCACGTTTGATCTTCAGCAGAAACCAATGAGGATCATTCTCGTGTTACGCAGCACGTTTGATCTTCAGCAGGAACCAATGAGGATCATTCTCGTGTTACGCAGCACGTTTGAGCTTCAGCAAGAACCAATGAGGATCATTCTCGTGTTACGCAGCACGTTTGATCTTCAGCAGAAACCAATGAGGATCATTCTTGTGTTACGCAGCACGTTTGATCTTCAGCAGGAACCAATGAGGATCATTCTCGTGTTACGCAGCACGTTTGATCTTCAGCAAGAACCAATGAGGATCATTCTCGTCTTACGCAGCACGTTTGAGCTTCAGCAAGAACCAATGAGGATCATTCTCGTGTTACGCAGCACGTTTGAGCTTCAGCAAGAACCAATGAGGTTCATTCTTGTGTTATGCAGCACGTTTGATCTTCAGCAAGAACCAATGAGGATCATTCTCGTGTTACGCAGCACGTTTGAGCTTCAGCAAGAACCAATGAGGATCATTCTCGTGTTACGCAGCACGTTTGATCTTCAGCAGAAACCAATGAGGATCATTCTCGTGTTACGCAGCACGTTTGATCTTCAGCAGGAACCAATGAGGATCATTCTCGTGTTACGCAGCACGTTTGATCTTCAGCAAGAACCAATGAGGATCATTCTCGTCTTACGCAGCACGTTTGAGCTTCAGCAAGAACCAATGAGGTTCATTCTCGTGTTACGCAGCACGTTTGAGCTTCAGCAAGAACCAATGAGGTTCATTCTTGTGTTACGCAGCACGTTTGATCTTCAGCAAGAACCAATGAGGTTCATTCTCGTGTTACGCAGCACGTTTGATCTTCAGCAAGAACCAATGAGGTTCATTCCTGTGTTACGCAGCACGTTTGATCTTCAGCAAGAACCAATGAGGTTCATTCCTGTGTTACGCAGCACGTTTGATCTTCCGCAAGAACCAATGAGGATCATTCTCGTGTTACGCAGCACGTTTGAGCTTCAGCAGGAACCAATGAGGTTCATTCTCGTGTTACGCAGCACGTTTGATCTTCAGCAAGAACCAATGAGGATCATTCTTGTGTTATGCAGCACGTTTGATCTTCAGCAAGAACCAATGAGGATCATTCTCGTGTTACGCAGCACGTTTGATCTTCAGCAAGAACCAATGAGGATCATTCTCGTGTTACGCAGCACGTTTGATCTTCAGCAAGAACCAATGAGGATCATTCTCGTCTTACGCAGCACGTTTGAGCTTCAGCAAGAACCAATGAGGATCATTCTCGTGTTACGCAGCACGTTTGAGCTTCAGCAAGAACCAATGAGGTTCATTCTCGTGTTACGCAGCACGTTTGATCTTCAGCAAGAACCAATGAGGATCATTCTCGTGTTACGCAGCACGTTTGAGCTTCAGCAAGAACCAATGAGGTTCATTCTTGTGTTATGCAGCACGTTTGATCTTCAGCAAGAACCAATGAGGTTCATTCTCGTGTTACGCAGCACGTTTGATCTTCAGCAAGAACCAATGAGGTTCATTCTCGTGTTACGCAGCACGTTTGATCTTCAGCAAGAACCAATGAGGTTCATTCTCGTGTTACGCAGCACGTTTGATCTTCAGCAAGAACCAATGAGGATCATTCTTGTGTTATGCAGCACGTTTGATCTTCAGCAAGAACCAATGAGGATCATTCTTGTGTTATGCAGCACGTTTGATCTTCAGCAAGAACCAATGAGGTTCATTCTCGTGTTACGCAGCACGTTTGATCTTCAGCAAGAACCAATGAGGATCATTCTTGTGTTATGCAGCACGTTTGATCTTCAGCAAGAACCAATGAGGATCATTCTCGTGTTACGCAGCACGTTTGATCTTCAGCAAGAACCAATGAGGATCATTCTCGTGTTACGCAGCACGTTTGATCTTCAGCAAGAACCAATGAGGTTCATTCTCGTGTTACGCAGCACGTTTGATCTTCAGCAAGAACCAATGAGGATCATTCTCGTCTTACGCAGCACGTTTGATCTTCAGCAAGAACCAATGAGGATCATTCTCGTGTTACGCAGCACGTTTGATCTTCAGCAAGAACCAATGAGGTTCATTCCTGTGTTACGCAGCACGTTTGATCTTCCGCAAGAACCAATGAGGATCATTCTTGTGTTACGCAGCACATTTGATCTTCAGCAAGAACCAATGAGGTTCATTCTCGTGTTATGCAGCACGTTTGAGCTTCAGCAAGAACCAATGAGGATCATTCTTGTGTTACGCAGCACGTTTGAACTTCAGCAAGAACCAATGAGGATCATTCTCGTGTTACGCAGCACGTTTGATCTTCAGCAAGAACCAATGAGGATCATTCTCGTGTTACGCAGCACGTTTGATCTTCAGCAAGAACCAATGAGGTTCATTCTCGTGTTACGCAGCACGTTTGATCTTCAGCAAGAACCAATGAGGATCATTCTCGTGTTACGCAGCACGTTTGAGCTTCAGCAAGAACCAATGAGGATCATTCTCGTGTTACGCAGCACGTTTGAGCTTCAGCAAGAACCAATGAGGTTCATTCTTGTGTTACGCAGCACGTTTGAGCTTCAGCAAGAACCAATGAGGTTCATTCTCGTGTTACGCAGCACGTTTGAGCTTCAGCAAGAACCAATGAGGTTCATTCTCATGTTATGCAGCACGTTTGAGGTTCAGCAGGAACCAGAGAGGTTCATTCTTGTGTTACGCAGCACGTTTGAGCTTCAGCAAGAACCAATGAGATTCATTTCATGTTACGCCACACGTTTGAGCTTCAGCAAGAACCAATCTTGTTCTTGTTTCTCTTGTTTAAAAACCAATGAGATTCATTTTGTGTTACGCAGCACGTTTGAGCTTCAGCAAGAACCAATAAGGATCATTCTCATGTTACGCAGCACGTTTGAGCTTCAGCAAGAACCAATGAGAATAATTTTGTGTAACGCAGCACGTTTCAACTTCTGCAAGAATCAAAAAGGTTTGTTTTCGAGCATCACGCAAGTTCGGTTGAGCTTCTGATTATGTTCGCTGATCAATGTTTAAATGTGAATAAAAGCCTAAATTATGTCTGTTCATCATATAAAGCAATTGAGTCTCATAAGAAAATTTGGACTAAACCGCAGAAAAAATATGCATGTCATGTCAAATTTTACAGATATTCACTCATATTTAAGAAATATTATAAAGGTTGAAAATTAATTGTGATTTTTTTTTTAGTTGTACATAAATCTGATTATTGTACGTTTTACAAGAAAATATTCTCAGCCTTTCCACTTAAAAATTTCATGTTTAAGACTTAATTTAAGTGTTTTCAAAAAAGTTATATTCAAAATTAGCTATGGCTGAAGGGGGATGAATCGATCCTGATGGCTGGTTTTGCCTGTAATTCACTGATGTTGCTTTACTTTTCTTTATTAATTTATATTTTATAATTTACTTGAATTTACAAACACGCACGTTATATATATATATATATATATATATATATATATATATATATATATATACATATGAAGAGTTCAGATGCAAAAGCCTCTAAATGCCATTTGAAATTTTCTTCTAAAATGATAATTTTTATCAAGCTTGTATATTTACGTTCAGTAATTTCACTTAAATGGCAATGACGATTACCTATTAATTGTCAGTTAAGTGAAATGACTGAACTTAAAAATACAAGCTTGATAAAAATGGTCATTTTAGAAGAAAATTTCAAATGGCATTTAGAGGCTTTTGCATCTGAACTCTTCATATATAAATGTGTGTTTGTAGATATTTGATAGGCATGCTATGTAAAGCACAATGTCTGTTCACATGTTGTTTAAATAAAAACAGTAAAAAAAAAAATCATGTTTGATTCAATTTGTTACTTGCTGATTCTTTGTAATTACTTCTGAGGGAAGATTGTTTCTACACCAATGTGTATGAGTACAAGATCTATACCTATCATAAGAATTTAGCATATAAAAACATAGATAAACATCTATACGCCTCCACGGCTATGCTAATAGAACATGCTCTTTAGATCAGTATTTGTGCAAGGTAGCAGTAGCACCTCCTACAGCTGTGACCCACAGCAGCACTGATTTACCATTGATTGGACCCCTGTAAAAGCCAAGAGCTCTGGAGTGAGGTAATGATTCAGAGCCACAGAGAGAGCGCCCTCTACGTGCCAGCAGCTGCCACTGTTGGGTACCACACAGCTGGCCTAAATATGAGTGCCCTCTGCTGGCGAACAGCAAGAACTGCAGGAGGATAGGCAGGGGACTTTTCTTTTTAAATGCGCTGTGTAGCCTACACGTAGACATCACCTCCAGAACTGAGCCACTGCATTTTTTTTTCTCCTGTATTATTTCAGTTTACAAATTGAAGACCTCATCTAGGTAAAAAAAGGGCTTAGTGAAATAAATGTTGTGTATAGAATATTCTTTTTTGTTAGACAAAGCAGGCGGATAATGAGGCACAAAGAAAGAGACTGGCTACTGCTATTTAGTGCTACCCGCTGTCCCACCCACCACCACCCAACACATTCATTCACTCTAGACAACAGAAGACGCCCGTAACAGGGATATTTTAGTTAAACTAAATTAAAATGAGAAATGTTGCCTTGATTTTTGTTTTAGTTAACTTGATGTAACTGAAACTGAAATAAAATTAATACAAATATACAGACATATTTAAAAACAAACAAAAACTATAATAGTATCTCAATGATGCAAATTTGTTAATATAAACAACTTCCTTTACATATTAACATCGCACTGCTGTTACACGAGCACAATTGTTTTAAATTGAAGAAATGTTGGTGAGGATGTTACGCTAACCAGTCAACCTGTTATTTTTCCTAAAGCAACAGAGCGGGACACTAAGATCCAGCGAGCGGGCGAGACCTGCGCTACATGCCTGCAGTAGCCGAGGACACAATAGCCGCTGAAGAGGAGGAAGCTGTGGCATGCAGCCTTAAACAAAGCGCAGGAACAAGAGGTCTTTACATGGAGTGCAGCTGCTTATTGCAGCTCTCCCCTTCCCGAATCACTGCAGCACACAGGCGTAACAAATACCGTCCGCACACAGCCTCTGAATCATAACACAATAAAACGCTGTCTTCCATAAAAGTATTTAGCAGTAAAAATGGCACGTTGACGAGAGGCGAGCGCAGGGAAGGGAATTAAGGGGAAAAAAAAAAATAATAAAAAATGGGGATGGATATGAAAGACCCCAATTCTCTTCAGTGCTATAATAGTGAAATGAACACACATAAATGTGTTAAGAGTATCTCTTTGCATCTTGTATGGACTGCATGTATTTAATCTGGAAAGCTTATTATGGGCGAGTCATTGCTATGCAAAGCAGCGCCTGACGCTTTTCTCTGGTCTTTTCAGCCCGGCGCAGTGTTTGGCCAATAGGCCTGGCCCCCCGCCTCTCATTGGGCATTCATAACATGCAACATTTGCACAATGTATCTCTCAAAGACTGCTGAATAGGGGGCCTTAATACTCATGTAAACAACTGCAAACCAATTACTTAATGAATCAGCCCCACACATAATGAGGAGGCGCACAAAGGCCCATAAATGCATTTTTTTGCACCAAAGTGCCTGCTTTAAACTCCGATTCTTCAGCTACGGTCCCGGCTTAAGCGCAAAATCATAATTATGACAAAGCAAGAGAGGCACTTGATTTATTTTATTTTGCTTTACTGCGATTTTTTTTGTTTGTGAGTTTTGGACCGAAGCAGACGGTCTTTTAATGTGCCCATCGGCTCGGTGACAGAATGACAACAGTAAGTGACGGAGAAGAGAGAGCGAGAGAGGGGGAACAGCACATGTAGTGTTCTACTGGTGCTCGAGTGCAGGGCACTTGTAGAGGCAATAAAGCGCAAGAAGTGACTGGCAAGAGGAATTCTTCAGCACGCCACGAAACGGTTTACCTGAAAGCAAAGCGAATGCTGCGATGCTAACCATCATCTTTAACCATCATAGAGGGTCTTCTCTCAGGAGCTCTGCGAGACTACCAGGTTCTGGGATGTTCCCGAAAGCATCTCGCACTAGAGACGGCTTATGTTTATTAATGAGGCCATTCATTGGGCAGACTGTGGCATCCATCAGAGAGCTCTGTCAGAGTGCAATCATTATACCCTTTCCTCTGCAAATAGTGTAAACTAGCTGAGAGAGCGCGGGGGGGAGGGAGGCGGGCAAAGAGTGGGCATAAAGACTGGGCAGAAAAAAAAAAAGACGGAGAGACGGGGAGAGAGACTTTCGACCCTTGTGTCAGCGTGATGCTCTGAAAAGCATGTGAAATCAGAGACGATTACTCTTCACAAGGTTTACCCATCCATTACCTGCCCTAATGGATTCACGGAGGAGAGGCACTGCTGGGAGGGCTTGCGTGTCTTAGCTGATTGTGTGAACTTGTGTTGATGTGAAAACCTAAACAATGTACCCTGAAGATCCTTTTTCATCATTCAAAGTCCTGATTTACCGAAGCAATCAAATAATGCCGACGATGAGAGAGGAAGCCCTGAATGAAAATACAGCTTGACTGATGCCTCCCACACGTGAACTTATGTTAATGATGCTAAGAGTGTTTCAAGGACAAACACACATTGCTTTTTTTTTTTATTAAAAGAGGACAAATGGAAACAAGGATTTTTTTTTTTTTATATAAATATTATTTTGTAAGTACTTACTGGCTATTTTGTGTTACAGGGTCCCGGAGCGCCTCAGACTTCTTTAATCTGTTGAAGTCTTTGAATAACAAACGAATCATTTCAATAAAAAGAGAAGGACAAGGGTGGATTATTATTACACATTTATACTCTTGTTCATTTGTATGATCAATATTGACAGTGAATAACTCAAATTAAATGGCCATTGCACAAAACATTTTTGCAATTAAAACGTAAATGTAAAATTAGGGGTAATAATTGCTGTTTTAAAGAAAAATAAATCAAGGTTTTAAGGTTTTCCCCTATATGTCTATGGAATTTACGACTCTGGTACTTTGGGCCTGAGTTGGGGGGAACAATGAATTTAATTGAGCCACCTAAAAATAATTATTTACAAATCCAATCTGAACACACAACTTGCTTTTGAGTCAACTGAACTAATTAAATTCAGGAATATGTTAAGAAGAATTGAAACAAATAAATTCTATCATATATAAAACATTTAAATGTTTACATGCTAATAAACAAAGCCTCTTTGCAATAAGACTCGCTCACAAATGCTTTGTCAAACTTGAGAATATTTATTTGCTATTATTCCCCGTTACCTGACGGCTCCGATTCCTCCTCCGAGTCACTCCAGTGCCTCTCTTGTGCCACAGACTGTTTAAGCAGCTGATATGCTTTGGTCTCTATAGAAAAAAGAGACAGAAAGAGCAGCTAGTCAAATATTTGCCAAGACCTCAACTTGCAACTTTCCAGAGCCCTGATGTTTGATGAACTAACATCAGCTCTTTAAGGCCTCTGATGAGCAAAGAGAGGAGGTGAAAAACAGAGTGAGTGCGCACTAAACTATTGATCTAATCCAGACGCACACATGCAGGCTGCCGTCTACAAAAAAAAGAACCCGTCGGCTTTTGTGTTTCCGCACCATCTTGTAGGATTCCATTTAAAACCCTGTCTTTCATGTTGAATAAACTTTCAAAATTGAGATCTTTAAGCAGCGTGCATTCAAGCTTAAAATACTTTGTGAAAACGAGCGAAGAGAAACAAACGTGCCCTGTAAAACAAACAAACAAAAAAAAAAAAAGTCAGTTTTAAATGTTCAAAGCAAACACACAAACAAATCGCAAAGTGCTTATGATCCCCAAAGACAAAATACATTCCGCCATCTCGTTATCCAGACTTTTGTAGCATGGCTGCAACAAACATGTTGCTCGTTTCTCCTGGTGTAATGACTGCAAAATATAGGAATGTTTCAAAAAATAAATTAAAAAAAGATTTCCTTTGGCTCTCTATATACATAAATGACTATTGTGCAAAACGCCGCTTTACCGACAAGGACGGCGGAGGGCCAACGTTCGGACGACGTTTCCACGGATGATTGCAAAGTGATGTAATGCGAAAGGCGACAGAACTCAATGCAGTCTTCATTAGCCGCCTGTAAACAGCTCATGAGCGGCCAGGGACAGCAGAGGCGGTTTTCCACTACCATAATGCCTTTGATTAGTTGCAGTGAGAAGCTGGACTTCTCTCTCCGTGGCGCTCTTGGGCTAGCCCTGCGCATGAAAGGCACAGTTTGAAATCAGATAGCCAAGTGGAATAATGGATAGTTTTACATTTCTGAGCTGGCGCTGGGACTTGCTACCCCGAGGCTTTTCAAAGGATGCCTTGACATCCAGTCTTTTCAAGTCCGCCTCTGGCTGGCATTGTTTAGCAGATAATGAGAACCAATGACAGATCTCGCGCGGCACCCCCAACCCGGCCGGCGGACAATTAAACCTCCGCATTATGCGCTCTGAGAATCTCAGTTTCACCCATACCTAGGGCAGAAGAAAAGAGACGGGTTTGTTTTCTCTGCCGATAATTAGAGGAACTGTTCCACTCTTCAGGTGGGACTTTGACCTCTGATTCACCTTGATCATCTTTTCAGTAGCCATCCAGTTGGGAAAAAAAAAGGGGACCCCCATTATCTACTGCGTGAGGAGAAAGACAAAACAGACACAGAAGAACTCCCGAACGGGCGCTTCTTCGATCTGCCTTTTTACCTCTAATAGGAATACTTTCCACTGGGCTTTGGTCGGCACTGTCCTCTTCAGCACTTTGAATTCCTGAAACAAAGAAAAGAGAAGGAAAGCGCAGCTCAGAGAGATGGTGGAAGAGTGAGACAGAGGAGAAAAGAAAAGAAAGATCTGGTGAAGGGGGGCTGAGCTTTTCGAATCTGAACAGCAGGACTGATTGAGACAGGTTTAGAGAGAGAATGAAGGCTGGCTGGCTTTGTCAGAAATGAGATTTGGGCAAAAGTGTATTCTCATGAGGGTCAGAGCTCTGGCATCCTGCGAGTACTCGAGGTCCTTCATCAGAACGGAGCCACCGAGCTGATGTTTCTGTGCATTGCCACTGAAAACGAGCCATTGCCTCATTTTAGGGCATCCCTCTCGGTTTCTCTCTCTCTGTTTTATCTGGCCGGGCACGGCTCTTAACATCTGTGTGTATTTAAACTGCTCAATAATACATGGATTACAGGCTATTCATTTGAATCCGAAAATAAAAAATAAATAAATAAACAGATATTTGAGATAAGCAGGATTTGCAAATGCCAGCTGAAATGTCAAACAAGCGTACCTTGTGTTCCAACGGTTGGACGATTTTTTCCGGAAGGCCCGGCGGGCTTTATTCCCACACTGTCACGCAGAAGGGAGGGCAGGCTGGAAGAAGATGAGAGTTCACTTTCTGAAGGCTGATGGGTCTCAGATTCGTGGGTCAGAAGCCTCTTCAACAGCTCTCCTGCCTGGATGACGCAAAGAGATTTCAGGGTTCTCACATAATTTTTCAGTCATTCATGATTTCTTATTTAAAAAAGTTGTACCGGGTATATACACATATTACATTGGCGATTTCTAACCGTTTAAATATTTTACAGCAAAAAAATGACATTAGCAATACATAGGGTTGGGTATCGAGAATCGAGAATCGATTGGAACCGAGACTAACTTTTCGTTTTTCCCGGAATCGTTCAAAAGTTAAAATTTCGATTCCTAGTTTCGATATTCACAGTCCGCCGAGCGGAAGAAGAAACCGCTGAACAACACCAACGAAGAAGCGTTTACCGGAAGTGTTGGCATAACCACGCGAGTCGAACATGAGTACCTTACGTCGGCGATCCAAAGTGTGGCTTCACTTTTCTAAAAATAACGAAATCTCGGCAAAATGCAAAATTTGTGACAAAAAGAGTATTTTTACAGAAGGAGTATTTCCTTCAGAAAGGATTATTTCCTTCAGAAAGGCCGTTGGTTAGCAAGGTTAGCTAAACTTTTTTGACCCTGCCTCTTAAAAGAATCGGAATCGAGAATCGTTAGGAACCGGAATCGAAACAAGGAATCGGAATCAGAATCGTTCAAATTCAAACGATACCCAACCCTAGCAATACATGACTTTTGCAGTCTTGGAAATCACAGTTTTAAAATTCCCTGATATTTTCAGGGTTTCCATAACCATAAGACCATGACTGTATACATTTTATGTACTCTGTGCATAAAACTATCACAAACAATGACAAGGAATAGGGGTCAGTCATCAAATATTATCATGCCCTTGCAAAAGATTTACATGCCATCTTACAGGCCAAATGCCACATAACACAGTCTAATAACAACATGAGAGTATCACCAGAACGTTAGAACAAAGAAGCTGGAATTTATGTAATGCCACAAAGAAAGACTGCTTTCAAAGCCCATCTGCATTTACAAGATGAGGTCGTTTTACTAAACCAGGTGCATCATATTCTACATCCTTTCCTCGTAATTATTCCATATTCCAGGATAATAATGTCTCCGTACACACCACCAAACATTAAAAAGTGATTTTATGGAAAATAACATGAATCACTGAACCTTTAAAAGCAGTTTTGGCACTGCTAAAGTACATTTCCAGTTTAATCTATTAAAGAACATTTTTTTTTTCTTCTTCTAGAAGAATGGTATGCAACTATAAATGGATAGGAATCATTAAATAATAATAGAAATACATAGGACATATTAAAAAACGATAATACACACACATACATATACATATCTCAATCAATCAAGTTTTTTAAGGTTTGTTGCGATGCGTGAAAACATTCATGTCTGGTTGTACTAGCATTAGTGTAATCTTTGTAATCACAGCCCTGTTATCAGTATCAGTATGTTGGCACTTCATAATGGCAGTTCCATACATCATATAATGAAACGGCAATAGAGTGCAACAGTCAGGTTCCGGAAGTAAAAACCCCATTCATTTTCTCCATGGGGAAATTGATTTTGAATGACTTGATAAAGTCAGCCCCACTGTGAGCTACTAAATCCATGCTATTTGCTTCTGCTGAAGCCGTCAGCCTGCATTATTTCAGCTTATTTTCAAAATAATCATGTTCAACAGTGGAATTCCTGGGGCCGGATTCACACCTCAAAGCCGGTCTTTTTGCACTGCCTGCAGATTACCGTGGTTATCATAATAAGCGCTCCGACTATTTTCGTCGCGACTGGCTTGAAGGGGGTTAATCACTCAGCGCTGTGATTTTAATGTACCAAGTCAAGTTAAAATAGTTCTTTTAAAAGAGCCTGTCTGAAAAATACAGTGGTCTTTTCCATTCATGTGCATGTTTTTCTTGCGCTCTTTTAGAGCGAATGAGTCCTGTATCTGTGTGTGCTGCCACGCTTGTTCTAGCTAGAGTGACTGCATCATTTATCTTAAGAATGAATCATTAATTTGGCTGCAGGATCAAAACTACAATACCCATGATGCTGTACAGAAAATTACACAAATCTCTTTAGCTCCACCCATTCCCATATAGCACTGTGAATGACAGAATCGAGTCGATCTCTTTACGCTCTCAAAATAGTTAAATCTATTACATGTGAGGTAAAGGTACTGTAATTGTAAAAGAGTAGTTTTATATTTTAAATTCGATGTCATATGCAATGCTTTTGCCGATTGTAGTTCTTTCCCTCACTAAAGCCATTAGGCACACAGTCTTGAACCTAATGGTGATCAAAATACTACATAAAGTAAACAAATGTATAAAAACACTGTATAGTAAATTAAATATACATTTATTCTAATTAAAGTTACAAACGTGATTCAGTCAAGAGCAATGAGAGGTTTTCACTTTTTTTGTTGTTTGATTAACATTAATAATGACAGCAGATAAATTGGATGCTGTTACTTTATGACATACTGCACAGATCCAAATTTAACATACTAAACGGTTCAAGACATAAATTACTGTGTTTACTTACAAAGACATGGTTACTTTGACACATAAGTATCACTCATTTCAGTTCTCACACACTTTATCTTGAAGTGCACACGTCTCTCTGTCAGTGCTGAGAAACAGTCTCTCCGAAAGCTCTCTTTCGCTGCTTACTGCACTTCAGCGCTTTAAACGTACTTCAAAACACATGCAAATGATAAGCTTTCGTGACAGCGTAGCACAGCCACGTCACGCGACCGTAACCACGAAAGAAACGATAGTCCAAATGTCTACCGGTTGACAGATTTACACAGCTGAATCGTGGCCATACTTGTACCTTTGTCCAATTTTGAAAAACTTTTTTGCATCAAATCAAAGCACTGGACGACTAGTTTATTCTGAACCCACTCATAAGCACTGCAACACTTCGCCCAGCCCACCACCACCAGAAGTAAATTCTCAACCTTTGTGAAACTTTGAATAACGAACTTGAATGACTCGATATGTGAACGGCCCTTTACATGGTCGCTATTTACATCTGACATCATCAGTAAACCGTTGTGTTACCAAGGCAACGACTGACACATAAGACTTACATTCCAGAGAGCGCCCAGTGGAAAACGAACCCATATCAGTACCGGCTGGCCCTGATCGGCACTAGGGCTGGGGTAAACGATTATTAACTAAACGATTAGTTGGGCGATTATTTTATCGATTAGTCGACTAATCTAATGACTAATTGGACGACTAATATAAAGAATATTTTCAAATAAATACTAGCATACTGAATCAAGATACTATAAGCTGGCTAACGTTAGTCTAATGTTATGTATTTGAACACCATCATTATAACTCTACAACCGCCAAAACCGTGTTATTAAAATATTTTTTACAAACATTTTTTATCATAGAGAATGTTTAAATATTAATATCAGCTGAGGAGGGAAACGGAGGCGGAGTTCACCTACTGATCAGAGCGCGTGCTGACACGGAGTAAAGCCTTGTTTATAGACCATTTCACAAGATGTAAACAACACTGGTCCAGAAGCACTTCCTGTTTCAGTTTATTTCACATGTAAAGAAAACATCTTGAAGATGTTTGTTTACCTTTTTGATTCAGTTTTAAATGTTCTGTTGGTTGTATTTTATTCCAGCTTTTATGTAGTGTTAAAAAACTGAAACAGGATGTGCTTCTGGACCAGTGTTGTTTACATCTTGTGAAATGGTCTATGCTCGACACATCCGCACGAGCGCGAATGTGCGCACGGCAAAAATGACGCGTTGGGTGCGCAAGACCAGGAAGACTGTGGCTGGCTGTGTGTACGCCTTTTTTTGTAACAGCGCGCCCGGCGCCACGTCCGGGAACGACTTCATGACGAATCTGCCCGAGCTTGTACGTCTCACCACACCGGCACCCAGTTTGCGCATCTAAATTGCAATTTTTTTTCTTAAGGGTTTGTTTACTGTGTGTGATTCATTTAATGGATAGCACATTCACTTCTAGTTGTCTTCGTCCTTTATTCTGCAATGTTTCGGTCTCCCACGTGTGTGTGGCAAGCTGTACCGCCGGGAACATGCAAAATATAAATAAATAAAGAAGCGTCGACGCAAAAATATGACGTCGACGCAATTTTGACGTTGAATCATCGACGTCATCGACGCGCCGCTAATCGGCACAGAATGGAACGGTTTGGCCCGAAGGTGGAAAAGCCTCAGTCCTGTGTCAAATGTACTTTTTATGGTTAAATTGATAATCAGGATTATTTTGCAATCAATTATAATAAATAGAAATTAATTTTTACTTGCACATTCACCGAAGCACAAATCAGAAGAATTTGCGTGGTTTATTTTTCCTCATCAAGTTTCCTAATTTATTACTGGCTATTTATCATTAAGGCCAACTGGTAAAACAAGAAACTTCTCTCAAAAATTAAAAAAAAGTGAAATTCCAAGTAATCAAACATTTCCCAATTACATTAAGGTTTTCTATTAAAACAACAGCAAAAAACGCTTTTGTATTGTCCCAAACGCAAATATAGACGATTACAGTTCATCACTGAGAGCGCAAGCGCTTCTAGACACTTTAATTTACGCAGAATCTCTCAAATTGAGAGACTTTTTTAGTCTGTGTTTTCAGATCTTTCGCCCTCATCATTAGTGTAAGGAATTTCAATTGAGTTTTAAAGGGATGGTATAATGTCCATTTCACGAGATGTAAAATAAATCTCTGATGTCCCCAGAGTGTGTATGTGAAGTCTTAGCTCAAAATACCCCACATATATTTTTATATAGCATGTTAAAGTTGTCACGTTTTAAGGGTTATTTTATTTTTATTTTTTTTTATTTCTTTTATTTGATAGGGACAATGCTCATTAATCAACAACATTACATGCTGTAAACAAGCCAGAGTTAGCTACGCGTGCTAGTTTCCATCTGCTGTCCCTAGCCAGGTCTTAGCAGGAATAGCAAAAATGCACCGTTTTGTGTCTGGCCCTTTAAATGCAAATGAGCTGCACCTCCCAACACAGTGGGCGGAGCTTCAAGAGTGTGCGTGTTAGCAGCTCTGATTTCCTCATGCAGACATATGCTAAAATGTCAGAAACTGTTCTGCCTTTTATGTTTAAACTGGTCAGACAAAGATGGAGAGACTAAGAAGAAGTGACAACATGTAGATTGCAAAAGGACATCTCTGAATGGTTAGTTGATGAATTTGTGTTGCTGATGTGGAGTTAACAATCTTCAATTATAGGGCTGGGCAAAAAAAATCGATTTTTCGATTAATCGTTTTTTAAAATGTGGTCGATTCAAAATCGATTCTCAACGGCCACGAATCGTTTTTTTTTTCCATATAAAGGGCTCGCGGACGCGGTGCTGCATCTTCTCATCTCTCTGCACTAGGCAAGCGCTAAGCGCTGCAGCTGTCGATACACACACGCGTTTAGGAGTCGGGACACAACCGAATATTCACTTGCACAATCGGGCCAGCATTGCATCGTGACCTATGATCGTAACTAACATTTATCATTTATTTGCTCAAGCAATGTTAAACCATCCCGTGCTCGCGCACTCTCAGAGATTTCTTTCACTGCGTGCACAGCCTAAATCCACCTCACAAACAGCTCGCCAGAAACAAAAGTTTTATCCCTGGATTATATCGCTTTAACAGTTAAAACACGCGACATTATGTCAAAACTCTGGTCTTGGTGAGTAACCTCGTAAAGACAGTCGGTAATGTCTTAAATTAGCATTAAACGTGTGTGACAGAAAGTTAATGAAACAGTATGGATTCGCGCACTAGTTCTTAAAGTGAAGTCATTAATTCTGTTGTCATAACAACAGAATATAGTATTAATTGTAAGCAATCAGAATTAAAAGCCTTTGTATTTAATTCAGTCTGGACTAAAAAGACTATCCAGTGTTATTTTACATTGGATTACTTTATTCAGTTTCTGTAGTATTTCTGACAAAAAACTACCCCAAAATGTCTCTTAATTTTTTTCTTTATTCTATTGTATTTATTTGTGCTACTTTTTTCAATTTAATTCAAAGATTGAAATCAAGCTTTCATACATAAACTCTTAACAAAAAAATACATTAACATTTAGGTAAGATCAATGTAAAAAATGTCTAAATATTTATATATTTATCCATCTTAAACATAAAATAACATGATACTGTTTGATCAAGCTGTGCGACTGTTCTGTGCGACTCTTTTTTGCATATTGCATCAAAATCTTGGTATGCATTTAGTGTATCTAAAATAAAAAGTGTTTTATATATAGGTTTATGGCTCTTAATTTTCTTGTATTAATTAACCACTAGTAAACTTATGTCCACTGTTCTTTTTTATAAATTATAAATATAGGATTTTTATTACATCTTCATTATAGTTGAATTGAGAATCAAATCAGGAATCGAGAATCGAAAATCGAATCGAGAATTGAAATCGAATTGAACTGAGAGCTTGCGAATCAAAATCGAATCGAAATTGAAATGTGAATCGATACCCAGCCCTATTCAATTAGCACATTCTGTCAGGATAATCTATAAATCGCTATAAATTACTCTTCTCAACATGGACTGCATGTTCCCGGGGTTTATGTAAATTTTAGGGTTGGTGATGTCACAAACCCGGGAGGAAGCTTGTGTAGTTCCTACCAGCCGTTTGTTGTAGTCCTTGAAAAAAAAGCATTTTCTTTAAAAGCAATTATCTCCCTTTGCTTTGAACTTTGAGCGTTGTAACTTTGCAGATGTTGTTTATGCTCAAACAGCAACATTACACGCTAACTAAAGTTAGAAAAGTGAAACTATAATCAACCACCCCTTTAATTTCTGAGAATATGAAAAAAAAAAAAAATCAGGAAACTAGATATGAACCATTTACGAATGGTAAAATGAACCATGAATAGACATCGTCTTGCTTATAGGTGAAAGCGCAATAATTTGGATGAAATGTAATAAAAAAAATGATTAGAATTTTGAGCAAATTAATCCTGATTATTATTATTCAGCATGACAAAATTGTGACAAAGTTTTCATTGACTAAAAATACACTAATGCTCAGACAGACTAAACTTGACGAAACAAAAACAGGACAAGAAAGACTAAAAAAGTACATTTTACAGGACTAAGACTAAGAAAAACAAACAAACAAACAAAAAACTACATTTGACTCAAATTTGACACATTTTAATCATCATAAACTGATTTGTGGCTGTAGAACATTTAAAAAATTAAATAAAAGGCCTGTGACAAAAAATCCTGTAGTATTAAAACACCTGTGCTGAGTTTGGGAGATTGCTGTGAAGCAGAAAGCAAGTGAGAGAGAGACCTTGTCAGTGTAGGTGGCGTTGTTTGTCACCAGGAGTCGAGTGAAGAGCTGGATGATGTGGTCAGTACTGAGGATGTTGTGTTGTCGAAGCTGACGGAAGTGCCTGAAACAGCAATCCCACAGCGGAACGCTTTCAGCCGACAGGCTCAACCTACAAGCCCAAACCAGGACAAACTCATTTAACACAGGCACATAATTTCCATGATCTAATTATGACAGTATGAGAAAACAACACACCAATAAGGTGGACATGAACTGTTATCTAAAAAGCCACTCAATCAAATACAGTAAACAGCAGCTACACTCACTTTAAATCATTCTCAAAATAAATAAAAGGGAAAATAAGACTCTTGGACCGCAAGAATACTTTTTAATACATTTTTTATTGAATTAAACCTGCCAATATTAGCCGACGATATTATTCAAACAATATCTTGCTATACAGTATCCTGTATAACAGTGAAACGACCTGAATAGATGCTATGACTCCGGACAACAGTACAGCACTATACCTGATCTCTCCTGGCTTTGTAGCTGATGACCAGTGTGTGTTGACTAGATCACTGGGTAACAGGCATCCATGAGACAGACTGCAGGACAGCAGGGGCAGCTGCTGCAGAACCACAGCACCGCACGCATGCAGATCCACACCATCCACACGCCCACACTGACCACATATACTGGGGAAGGCATGAAGAAACAGGCTAAAAATGACAACATGTGGAGTGCAGGCACACACATTTCAGCTTCAGCTTTCAAAACCTCACTAATAATGCGGTATTACCAAAAGTACAAGTTTTAGATTAGTATAAATATTCTCCACGTCCTTCAATCCACAAACAAACCCCGGAGAGCAATAAAACTCCACTGCAAAATGGTCACTGTGATTCAAAACCCCTTAAGAAACCAAGATTTATTGCTAGAGTGTTATTGGTGGCAAAGTAATGGCACTTAATTTATAGCGAGAGCTCTTAACAGCAGGATAATGCAATTTCCACTGAATCTGTGAACACCAACAGACTCAAGCAGGGGAACAAAACATCTTCCTTCTCTGACCTGATGATATCACTGAGTTTCTGCTCATCGACTGCGCTTCTGTAGAGGTTCGCGTCTTTTTCTCCGAGACGGCGCTCAATGCTTTCCAGAAGACGACAAAATCCTTCCATGGAGAGCCTGGTGAGAAGTTCAATAACAAAAACAAGAAAGTCAATTATTGGTTTATAGTGTTATTTGTATTGCCTTGTTAACTTTTGCATTAATGTTAAAGAGATTAAAACCAACAAGAAACTACATTTTCAGCCAGTTTTACTTGTAATGTAACATATTTATGAGTAAAATAAGGATGTGGAATTAAAAAAAAATAAAAAAAAATAGGGTGGAACTTAGATTTATCCACTGGGAATTGACATGATCACAGTGAACAATCGATTTCAGAACAGTGCCAGGCCTGAAAGTGAGTTTGCAGTGGATTGTGGAGGAATACTTTCCTCCAGACAACCTCCAGAACCCACTTTTAAAGGGAATTTAGTACTGGGATGAGGAGGCTGAAGGTTGAGATCACCCTCGACAGCACCTAGACTTATCCTTTCCTTTTTCGTCTCTACCATTATATGCTATTATTGCTCTCACATCAATTAGCATTAATGTGATTTTACAAAGGCTGCATTCTCTATAAGAGTAGCATAAGGGAATGCATGCCTATGTTTATCATCATCCAATAGCTCACAGAAAACCATTTCAGAAGTGGAGCATTTAATTACATTACAAGGTTACAAAGACAATTTTTTTTCTGAATATCATGCACAGATCCCCAGTAATTGTCCAGGAATGTGTACTGACAATAACGTACTGAGGCAATTTTGATTTTGCATTGAATTTAAGTATAATAAAAACATATTGTATCAAGTACAACATTTTTTTTGTAATGTTTGCACTTTCAAAGAATAATAAAATAAAACATCTTGTTCTTAGGTTTGGCATTGGATTGCTGCAGAAATGTGACATATTACAGGGCTCATTTTGTTCTAGCGAATCCATATCTCTCACACTGACGTATTAAGCACTGGGTGGCCTTTAGAGAATAGCTTCTGCAAAACCTAAACCCCCCACCATATAAAATGGCCAAAAAGAATTTATGACAATCTATAATGGGCCCTGGGGTCAGGGGCCACCAAACAATCGCTGCCTCTCTTTGGCAGGTTGTTTCCTGGAAACACCCTGATTAAGCTGCCTGTGTGAATTATATCCATGACATTCTGTGGAGCACAATCCATCTGGGCAAAGTCCTCTTCAGAGCGGCTGAAACACCCCCCATACATCCCTCTGCTCCGTCATCATCTTCCCACAGTGTATTCGCCAGGGCTCTTCAGAACACCTAACACACCCAAACAGCAGCTGATTACAGAGTATTGTGGGCAACATCTATACAGTAGGTGTTTGCGCTTGAGACCATTTATGAGGAGCATGTTCTCTATATTTCAGCTATTTGTTTTCTCCATAACAGCAATAATGGTTCCACAAGCATATATTCTAGCCCACCCTAGAGACAGAATCACGTAACAAGGGAACTGATGTGACTCTTTCCGAAAAGTAGCTAAAACATGAAAATAGACAAAAATATATTAACAAATCAATCGGTGAAGGATACAGCAGCATCATACTTGAAAGGGCTTGACAACGGATCCATTACAGGGTGTTTTAGTGCTGGTCTCTCCTTTTACAAAGGTAGAAGTATAATGGGTTAGTCAAAAGATCAACTGAAGCACATCGAGATCTTTGAAAACACAAACTCGTGCCGTCATATGAGAGGCTGAGAGGACAGCCTCATGAAGGGAACGCTCGAAAGAATACAATGATACACTCTCCTCTCTAGACCTGAGCGCACGATAGCCTTGACTCCACTTTCGCATCACAACATGTGTGACACGGTATTTACTAAATGCTAAGATTCGTACTAATGGTTTCTCCTTCTCTTGCTTACACGCACAATAACGTTACAAGAGCTTTGTTCTTAGCCAGACCTCTTCACAAGGCCAAAGAAACTCACATTCACAAAGACGAATAATATGCCAGAGAGAGAGAGGTCACTACGGACCATATCCTTTTAACAGACGGCAGGAAACGCAGTAGCCCAAGTGGTGGGTTTTGTCAATAAAATGTCATTTTAATCTATTGAAAGGTCTTAAATTACTAGGAAACACTTTACAATCACCTCCATAGGGAACCACTGGGGCTTTGCATGCGCATTAGCATCTAAAGTGAAGGGGTTGTTTGTTTTGATAGTCATCTCATTTGATCACAGGGCCTTTATGCATGAAGCAAACAAATTATTCTGCCAAAAATGCAGAATTTGCATGCATACCTTTGTGCTAAATATCTATTCAACCAACTCATTAAAGTGGATAATCCACTCCATGTATACACTTGGCAATATTGATGAAGCAGGCTTCATTAATCGATTTATTCAACACAGAAATAATAAAATAAGTAATAAAGAGCAAAATGGCTGGAGTAATTCGTATAAACCTTAACTTACACTGTCCTGGAGGGTTGCGAATTTCGTCATGATTCATCATCACATTGTTTTAATTTCTGCATGTCATCATGGTTTCTTTTTCTAATGTGATGTCTATAACCACAGGAACATGTTTTACAATAGGGTTGAAGGGAGAACGCAGTGGCAAATCGTAGAAATTTTGTATATACTCTGCTTACGCTCTACAGTGAGTGGCACTAGAGAGAAAAATGAGTCAAAATAGCCAGCTAATCCGTTTGCTCAATATTTTTTAACCAGTACTTGCACTTTTCCACTTAATCGATTCATAAATATTGAGGCTACCGACACTTGTGAGAAAAAAAAAAAAAAACGGTATGGTTGAGCATTCTGTCCTTGCTAGGGTCACATCTCGTGACATCATGTGCCGTTTTTGGTTCGTTTTGCTGTCTTTGATCCGTGTTGCGCTACCAGATAACACCAGAGTTCATTTCGATCCGCTTGATTGGTGTGCACCAGGGTTCAGATCGTAGCATTCACACTTACCGTATTCATATGAACAGCACTAACAGAGAAATCGCACCAGTTTGTTTTTAATCAACACACTATTAGTTACTTATTCATTTTGAGGTATACAAAAACCTATAATGTAAACATAATCTATAGTGGTATCAATCATGAAAAAAAAAAACAAACAATCTAATCCAGAAATGTATATATATATATATATCAAGTACATTAGTGCAAATGCCCCAGCTTTTATATGGGGATTTTTAGATTCATCATAATATATAACAGTTTACTTTCAAAAGATCTATGTCTATTTGAGATGTGTACATTTTTATGTTAATGTATAATATATACTACTGTAAATAGTATAAGTCCATGCACATCATGCAAACGTACTAACTATCTGTCTGAGCGGAGCCTTCATGATGCCCACACTTTCATTCTTCAGAACATTCTATGAAGTCAAGAAATATTTGAGTCTCCTGGGACTTGGGGTCAAATCTCCGGAGGAGAAAATTGCTCCCTTACAGCATTATCTGGGATTAGGGCAATAATGTTGGATTCAGGGTCTGAGCCATCCATACAAGGTGTCCTAAAGCCACAATTGAGCCCCGCTGAGTGAGGTTGTTGGCTGCAGAACCCCAGTTCATTATATCTGTACACCCATGTGCACATGTACACGCATCCCCCATCCCAGAAAACCACACACAGAGAAAAAAAACCTCCCTGTTGTTGTGGTTTGAGTAGAAACTCTACTACTGACTGAATCAGCTGAGTGTTTTTAACATGCTTACTACTAAAAAAGATTTTTGCTTTGCTTGATATCTGGACTCAAGTAAAAATAATAGGAGTGTAACGATACACATATTCGTATTGAACCGTTCGGTATGAGGCTTTCGGTTCGGTATCGCATTACAAATCGAACGATTCGCTGGACCTTTTTTACTGCCGGTGCGAGCAAAATTTTGTTAGCAGTCGCGACCACCACAACCTTGCCTCAATGATAACAAATGGCAAACATAATAAAAGCGGAACAGAAATGTGCTACTTTGGTGCTTCACGGACCGTTTATCAGTGCAGCGCAAAGCGATCTTGATCACGCAACACTGTTACTACACAGCACTAAGAGATCCAGTAAAGAAAGCATTTGAATTCTTTCTTTTTTTTTGTTGAATCAAAAACTTACCGAACCGTGACACCACTGTGTCGTATCGAAGCGAACCGTGAATTTTGTCAACCGTTATACCCCTAAAAAATAACCAAATATACTTAAAACTAAGTTCTTTAGGTTTATGCAAATACTATCAATCGGGCAATAAAAACAATACTAACTTAAAGGGAAACCAATATCCATTAGACGGCGCTTTAATCTTTTAAAATTTCATCATATCTTCTAAACTAGAGTAATAATCAGGTGCATCTCTATGATAATACTTAGATAAGTTAACGTGATACTGCAATCTCATTGATAATGAGAAATGTTACTGCGTAGTAAACATTCAGGGCCAGTATTTAGGTCTATAGAGTTTCTAGCTGCTTTCAGAAGAGAGAAAACCGTGGAGCAATCCAAGCAACTGTACCTGTTGGGGGATTGGAGAGGGTCAGGCCTTCCATGCTGTGGTGTATTGACCTGCTCATGTGTGCCACTGTTGGTTTGAATAGGTATTACACTCTCCTCTTGAATTACATCATCTCCTCTCCAGGTGTGATGCTCACTTTGACTCGGTGAAAGTGAAACATCACTATCCGTCTGCATCGAGAGGTCTGGTTTAATTTCACCAGCTGGATTGAGAATGCTGGGACGTCTGCTGTTAGTGTGATCTGAAATTGATATAAGACCACGATGAGTAAGTATAATTCTTAAATTGGGCTAATCAATTGAAAAAAGTGACAAACATCGATGAAACTTGGCAAGTCATGTCAATACATCTGTTTACTGACAATGTGAAATTAAAAGTAACTGAGGTGGAATTTCAAACCTGGAAGATCTTGATGTCTCGGCACAGAGTCACCTTCATCCTCTGCAGACACTTCCTCATCCTCATCTCCAGAGATCATGTACTGTGAGTTATCTCTTGGATCGGTGGTATCTGGGGAAGGACTGCGGGTCGGACACCGCTGTAATGACACAATGTCCGCAGGCTTCTTCACGGTCACAGATAGAGAGGACACTTCAGCTTCCCTCAGGGTCATGTGAGGTGAGATTCGTTCTTCCCATCTTCGCTGCTCTCCTGCCCTCTGAGAGAAGTCCCAATCAGACTCCATCTGCTTTTCATGCACGTCACTCAAACATTTGTCCTCAAGGAAATCACCTGAGTTTAGAATGTTATCAGATAAAATGGCAGCGCCACTGGCTTTTGAAACATGGGAGTGCATACAAAGGCCACTTTGTAGAGGAGAGAGTGAAGGATGATTAGGCATCAGCTCTGTTTGAGATGGTGAACGTTGATCATTTCTTGATGAGCGGCTGGAGGTCTGGTGACCCGTAAAGATGACAGCACTCTGTGATGATCCGTGTGTGCTGGGGAACTGGAACCTGCTCAGGTGCTGTTCAAGTGAAACAATAGATATGGTAGATATAAGTGGTGGCAGAAAGGAGATGATGGCAATTAGGGCTAGGCACAAGAACGATTACTATCCTGACATAATTTTCCCCTATAAGATTATAACAAAAGTTCGATAAGTGTTCAATATAATGTTTATGCACTATGCAAATAATGCTGGCGTGTATAATAATCAAATATCAAATAATAATCGCGATCAATCAAATAATAATCGCGATTAATCGCATCAAAAATAAAAGTTTGTTTACATAATATATGTGGGTGCACTGTGTGTTATTATATATATATATATATATATATACACACACATGCTTGTATATATTTAAGAAATATTTTCATGTATATACTATATATATATATATATATATATATACATACTATATATATATATATATATATATATATATATATATAAATAATATCTTTTTCTTAAATATACATGCATGCGTGTGTATTTTTATATATACAAAATAATTATACACAGTGCACCCACATATATTATGTAAAAACAAACTTTTATTTTGGATGCGATTAATCACGATTAATCGTTTGACAGCCCTAATATATAGATATATAATATATATATATATATGAAGAGTTCAGATGCAAAAGCCTCTAAATGCCATTTGAAATTTTCTTCTAAAATGACCATTTTTATCAAGCTTGTATATTTCAGTTCAGTAATTTCACTTAAATGACAATTAATAGATAATCTTCATTGCCATTTAAGTGAAATTACTGAACTTAAATATACAAGCTTGATAAAAATGGTCATTTTAGAAGAAAATTTCAAATATAAATCACTTCTCTGTCTTCCACTACCCTGACTAGAACGTCGGTGTCCTCAGCTGTGAACCGCTCCTAGCGTGCACCTGATAAATTCGCCATAACAATAACAATCCGCCATGCAACATGCACAACTGCTCTTAAAGGGTGTGTTGGAAGACGCTCTGATAGGTTTATTTCACTTTACACCCAAACCACACCTATGAATAATAAAGCTATTTCAGACCAACCCCTTTTAAACTTGCGTCGGGTGCAAGACTCATTCATCCCGCCGGTAAAATAGCAACAGCGCCTAAGACCCGCCCACAAAGTTACGTGCGCCTCACGCTTGATACTAAGAGTCAGTCCCAATGCACTTCTATTCTATTGTATATTTTGAATACCCTGGCATCTCTTTTTGTGTATGACAGAAAAAAAGAAAGTCATACCGGTTTGGAAAAAAAACCCCACAAAAGTGAGAGAATTTTCATTTTTGGGTAATCGAACTAAACGTTTTGAAGCATTTCCTTTTGAATACTCATGGGAAGAGTTTAACCAATGTAAAAAGTGAAATATATCTTCACATACATTTGTAAAAATGTGATGAAAATGAAAGGAAGTAAAACTGCAGAAAAACAAAAAAAGCCATGTCAAGTACAAAGAGTCAAAGCATTTACAAAGTGCTAAAATTAATTGGCCGGTCAAGGATACCTCATTGCCAGTAAGTGGGAGCTAAATGTCTGCTATATCATTCTCTCATTGCTTTACTTCCACTAGTCCTTGGCCCCAAAACTCAACCCTGACAATTCAGGTTAAGGTGGCTTCTTTTCAAATAAACTTTAATCCAAAACATTTCAAGGTATCATTTCTGTAGCTTTATACAAACCGACTTTGATTTCTTTTGGTCAAGGTTAGATTTTCTTCCAACTGTCTGTTCAGGTGAGTGCACTGAGATCAGTGTCTTAACTTTTAATCTTATTAACAATCCTATGCTCCTAAACTCTGTTTCATGACAGAAATACTGCACTACGGAGGAAGAGTGGTGGATGTGTACCGAAAAAAAAAAAAAAAATCAGCACACATAAAAAAAAAAAATAAAAAAAACATGGCTTCTGTTTCTTTTCTGATAAGGGTCTTAAATACCAACCCGTTAGCTGCTTAATAACATCCACTGTAAACCACGCGGTCTGTCTGGCAGATCCAGTGTGGAAGTAAAAAAAAAAGAAAGGAAAAAAGAAATGGAGTGAGAGGAAAAGTTAATTTCTTGGCTGAGTGATTCCATCGCTAGCTGCAGGGCAAAGTAGAAAGTGTTTCGCTAAAGTAGCAATTGATTCTTCTATCAATCTGCGGCACGCGCCTGCTCTTCCAAGGAATATATTAAATATGAAAATCATATCCCGTTATCATGGCTTCCCAGCTTTCAGGCTGGTAAGCTCCCCTTAATGAATGCTGCAGCCTCGGGGACATGCACGCAGCCAGTGGTGGCGCCTATGCATAATGGAGTGATTCCTCCCATCTCTGCTCATTACAATATCGGCAGGCTGGATTTGGGGGGGCTGGGATATGGGGAGGAAGGGGGGGATACGGCACAGTCACAAGTGACTGCTCTAGACAGAATGCTCTAAGTCATTATGAGCTGTCTTCCACATTTCATCCGAGAGAGCTCGAGTCGCTTGAAGAGAGGGAAAGCTACAGCCACGGGCTTGAACTACATTGTCGGTGCGAGCAAAAGCAGCCAGGATTAGACACCTGTGGCACTACAGATACGAGAGGGAAAATGAACAGCCTCACGACCACCGCTGAGCAATCTACATAACAGCGACTTTTATTCCAGGGAGTGACAGAAAGAGTTTGGACGCATATTGTTTTAGCCGTCATACGTGTGATGTGACTGTCACAACGAGAAACGTGACTCATGGTCAGTTGGATTGCTGTAGCTGTAAGAGGCTTTCAAAATACTCTTTTCCATTTGTGTTTTTTCCCCCCTTCTAATTGTAAATGGCCTTTTAAAATGTGTAATATCATTTTGTTTTAAGACTGTGATACTCCTTTGTTAAACCAAAGCAGTCATTTGAGCAAAACAGAAATTACTTCAAGCACTTTCCAATTTGCTTTTGATTATAAATTAATTGTGGCCTTTGAACACTGATACCCCATATAAACTGTCAAAAGTGTCTCCTGAAGAGGGAGGCTGAGCTGAATAATGGTTGTGGTATTTTTCTCTACAACTCTCAACTCTCTTCTTTTGAAAAAAAAAAAAGAGACACACTTCCATTGGATCCCATCACAGCACTGCAGTTTTATCAAAGGCACACAGATAGCTTTGTAAATTCCCCACTGAACTGTAATTTCCATAGATGACATGATAATTTTCTCTTACCTCGTCCGCTTCTGATTCCCCCCTGGCCTCCGTTTTCTTCTTGTCTTTCTTTAGTCTGGTAATATGATTCTTGTACTCCAACTGAAATGAATTCAAGTCAAATCATCACTAATATAGATCGTTTCAACCATCTAAATGACAAAACAAATTTGCTTAGTTGTAACACGGCACTGGCTTAATAGCATGGCAGTTACGGGACACATGACACAAAACAATTCCAATATAACCTCTTATTTCATTAAACATTGCAAACAAAGCAATGGAAGAGGAAGATTATGTTTCTGCCCCTAAATGTAGCGCCAATCAGCGTGTGTATTCCTTTGTGAGTGCCCTTAATAGTGCCTGCCAAGGCTCTTAATCAGTTTGGCGAGTTAACCAGTGGCAGAGATGACGGCGCTGGGATTACCTCCAACCTCCCACTTCATTCTCGTAAGACAATATCTGCGCTCCCAAAAGAGACCAGAGTTACCATTTACACCGATTTTACACACGATAACATCTAAAGTGCTCCGTGCAGTTACAAGCAGACAAATATTAGCGAATCAGAGTGGGAAGAAAAGAGAAATGAGGTGATGGTATATGAATTTGAGCAATTAAGCAATCGAGTTCAATTTAGTGTGATAGAAATTAAAGTGATATTCTTTGACTGGCAGCTAGATTAGCAAGTATCTCTTACAATTGCAATTTTAGGCTACCGCTGCAGCAACCAAACAAAACGCAACACACACAAAAAGGAGGAAAACGGGTTTCTTTCACAAAAAGGGACATTCGGTGGCACTTCACTATCTGAATACAGGGCGATTAATTTGTGGTAGTAGTGTAATTAAACAATTTGTCTAATTTGATATTAAGCTGTGGAGCACTGTTCAGTTTTAAGTGACAATCTGACGGAGCTGTTGTTTTCTTTTTCTCATTTGCGTGCGGTGATAAATGAGTGCTGGAGTGTTTATGATTGTTCCCAAACAACAATAAGTGTGAAAGTTTAAACACTGGAAGACAATTAGACAGACAATTACAGGATTATGGCAATGGTCTAATTGAGGCTCAGAATATATGTCGGGGGAGGGGAGAAATATAAATGCCTTATTTTGGGGAAATGCAAACATTCAGACAACACTAATATGTTTGGTACTGAGCGGCTATCGTTTGGGTCAACGCACGTTTCATTTCACCTCTATGATCAGATCAACGCAAACATGTGCTTTGACATGAGAATAACAACCAAAACACAGCTTGGAATGATAAAGCGATGCACTAACCATAATACATCTATACGTCTAAGATAAAACTTTGAAATAAGCATAACAATTGACACAGACTCAGTACTTTTTTTTTGGAAGCACATACGATGAATATTGGTTGTCCAAGGTTGTTACCCTCTTTTGAAGCAGCCCACTACAATCAATGGAGAATTCTTTCAATTTGGATGCCAAGTTTTCCACATTCCCCAGTAGCTCAAGGTTGCGTGTCTTTGCTCGCTGCTCTCTCTCGCGCAGCTCCTTGTAATAGCAGCGCATCTTGGCACACTTCAGCTTAGTCCTGTGAGCAAGAGACAGATGTGAAATGGACAGCTTTGCTACTCTCTGTATAGAAAAAGGCTGCATTGACTTTGCATTAATAAAAATAAATATAGAAACATGTAACAAATAGGTCAAACATTACTATAAATAGGTTAATGCTAGCTTATTAGTATTACTAATTGCTGCACGCTATGTGCATATTACAGGACAAACTAAAAAATTACATATTTGTCAAGAGCCACTTTACAATAGTACTAATGGATTCTCCGCAGCTAAGATGGAGTTTTGTGACTAGCAAAGGGCGAAAATGGATAATAATGGCTGAAATGTTCAAATGAATGATAAACGCTGATCTACTAACCTCTCACACATCCTTGACCATCATGGCCCCATATCAAAATTCTTTATTTTTATAAATGCATTTAATTGAGCCATCATAAAAACAAACTGGCCTCAAGTACTTAAACAGACACAGATGACCCCAAATCATCAATGAGTGAGCGTATCGGTCTACTTATTTATCCTGGAATAACCATTTTTTGGAGAAAGTGTGGCGGGAACAAAAGACGCATGTCACTACAATATAGACTTAATAAAATAAAATGTTTATAAACAAGATGATTAAAAAAAACAAACGATTTTTTTATTTAATTTATCAAAGTAATAAGTGAAAGCACAATAAATGTAATACTGTAGCAAAACATTTCTTTATGGCCTCTTTCAGGTTGTAAAAGAATCCCTAAAATTGTAATCTGAAAGTCAGTGTTGGATACACTAGAAACAGTAGTATATGGAGCAAAAAATATCAATATATTTTATACTTGAGCGGAATCCATTCACACACACATATATAAATGTATTGATATTTTTTTTTTATCGATCAGCATTTATTGATGATTTGGGGTCATCTGTTTCTGTTTAAGTACTTGAGGCCAGTTTGTTTTTATGATGGCTCAATTAAATGCATTTATAAAAATAAAGAATTTTGATATGGGGCCATGATGGTGGTCAAGGATGTTTGAGAGGTTAGTAGATCAGCATTTATCATATATATATATATATATATATATATATATATATTATATATATGTTCTGTTGTCAAGAATAGTTTTTACCAGCTAAGAATGAGTGCCTGCCTGAAGTCATTCCTATCTCGTGACGATCTTGAGAAAGTTATCCATGCTTTTATTACATCACGGCTGGATTATTGTAATTCCCTCTACCTTGGCCTCCCACAATCATCACTTAGACATTTGCAGTTGGTACAAAAAGCAGCAGCACGTCTTTTAACTGGCACCAGGAGGCGTGAGCACATCACCCCCATTCTGGCTTCCTTGCATTGGCTCCCAGTTCATTTTAGGATTCAGTTTAAAGTTTTACTGTTTGTTTTCAAGGCACTTAATGGGCTAGCTCCAACTTACATCACTGAACTTGTACAGCCATATTCAGTTCAAAGGTCACTCAGATCCTCAAAACAAGGGCTTCTGCTTGTGCCGCGCTCACGGCTCAAGCAGAGGGGTGACAGAGCGTTTGCAGTTGCTGCTCCACGGTTGTGGAATCAGCTCCCGCAGGATATTAGATATGCCCTCTCCATTGCTATATTCAAAACCAGGTTAAAACCCCATTTTTTTTCTATGGCCTTTCTGGTTCCTTAACCTGGCACTCCTGTTTGTTCTTTGTATTTCTGTGCTGTACGCCCTGATATTGAAGATTTTGTTTTGTTTTTTATTTCATGTTTTATATGCGTATGACTATTGTTTCTGTGTTTTTTATTTTCTTTTATTTATTCATTGTACAGCACTTTGGTCAGTCTTGCACTGTGTGTAAATGTGCTTTATAAATTAAATGTACTTACTTAATATATATATATATATATATATATATATATATATATATATATATATATATATATATATTTACCTCTCCAAGGCTGCATTTATTTAATTATGAATACAAAATAAAATAATATTGTGAAATATTATTACACTTTAAATAACTTTTTTATCTGAGTATATGCATGCAATGTAATGCATCCCTGCTGTGATCAAAACTGAATTTTCAGCATCATTACTCCAGTCTTCAGTGTTACATGATCCTTCAGAAATCATTCTAATATTCTTATTTTGCTGCATCAAGAAACATTTCTGATTATTATCAATGCTGAAAAAAGTTATGTAAATATTTTCAGGATTCTTTGATTAATAGAAATAAAAAAACAGCATTTATTTGAAATAGAATCTTTTATACGATTACAAATGTATTTACTGTAATTTCTGATCAATTTAATGCATCATTGCTGAATAAAAGTAAAATTTCTTTCCAAAATAAATAAATAAATACATCTTACTGACCCCAAACTTTTGATTGGTAGTGTATAATCTTACCATTCAAAGCTTTTTATAAGCTTTTTATAAAGCTTTTTATTTTAGCTAAATGCTGTTGTTATAATTGTACACATCTGTTTTCAACATTGATCATAATAATAATAAATATTTCTTGAGCAGCAAATCAGCATATTAGACAGATTTGTGATTTCTGAAAGATGATGTGACACTGACGACTGGAGTAATGACAGAATAAATTTAAATTATATTCAAACAGCATTTATTTTAAATTTCAATATTATTTCACAATATTACTGTTTTTTAATTAAATAAATGCAGCCTTGGTGGTATTTTAAAAACATGCAAATACATAGGTTTCTTGATATATTTACTATTAATTTCAACTGTCAACTGTGTTATACTTACAGTCTTTCATCTGATCTTAAGTAGGCAAACAGTTTTTCTTCCAGTTCATGTCTTCTTCTCTCCCTAAACAAAAAAAGTAGTATTAAACAATTCGTCTCCACAAATACTAAATTAAGTAAGATAAAAAAAGAAGGAGCTGGACTAAGTTACTAGATGAATCCAGGGAGCGTTAGCTACCAAATTTACGAACTGTATAATAGTACGTACATTAATAGTTCTTTACATCTTTACATTAGGTAAAGTTATAGCTAACTTTACATCCTCCGCAAAAACTAAAGAGAAAAACAACAAACATTGTGATAGGCTAACTTACTGAATCTGTCATCATAATACAGCAATTATGAAAAAAGGCGACATCCAAAACAGATAAGACATCCGACATAATATTTGAGCTCACTGCTATACATGTGTGATTATTAAAAAAGCATGTTATTTCAAAAGCTAAAGAATCGTTCACCGCTGTCCCGTTGGTTATTGTCACTCTCCTGGTCACCGAGCCAGACAGCTACAGTCCGCGAGAGCTGAAATCTACCGCGCTGCTTCATTCAAGGCCCACTTCAATTTCCAAACATTTAATAGAGACAATACAGCATTCATTACGAATAAGCTCAAGGAAAAAGTGCACCGCGTTCTTACCTTTCGTGTATACTCTTTTGAATATTTCCAATTTGATCGAAATACTCGGTGTTGCAGACAGCCATGGCTGGTTTTGTTCGCTGTTCACCTCAGCGCTGTTAGAGCTCGTTGTTTACAATGGTTACCATACGCACCGTTTCCCAGGAGACCGCGCGAGCAAGTTGACAGACAGAAGGGCGCGAATTTCTCTGACGCTGAGGCGGCGGGGAGACACCTCGGTAAGAAACAGCTGAAACCGGGACGAAAGGGTGAATTTTACTTCAGACATCCAGGTTAGCTCGATATAAATTGTACAAATGCCACGTTTTCCCTCAGATAGATACATCAACATTTACACGAGATCAAAGTCTGATAGCCACCAGTAAGCGTTTTGTCTCTGAAACAGACTTGTTTTACACGAAATAAAAGGTAAAATCGACCAAGACGATGAAGATTATTGTTAATCCAACTGTCAAAATAGTATTTCCTAAATAGCCTATGTAGAGCTAAGCTAGCCTATATTTTGTGCTAAAAATGGTGCTTCATAAAGCGACAACACCATTTTATTTGGAATCTTTCATTTCTAACTTCTTCTGAGCTGGATTGCAGTATGAACTCAAAATTATTTATTACTGGAGAAAATATTTTAAAATGATCAATTTTATCATAATCTTTAATACAAATAATTTAACTGTGCAATGAAGGATAGGCTGCAACAGATGGATCCATCGTGACCTTGCCTATCCCAGAATTCATAAAAAAAAGAAAAATACACTTTAGAGCGGTTTGTAGCTAGGTTTAAAGTAGTCTCAGCCTCAGACGTAACGCCCACGGAACGTTGGCTAAACGTCTGATGCATATGGTACACTTAAAGCCTAGTTCACACTACATGATTTTAAAATGTCGGGCTGAACTGTGCAGTTCACACTACATGACTTGCTCTCAGTGAAATCATGAGTGTTCAAGTTGTTTAGCTGTTCACACCACACAACACAACGTGATTGATCCACAACAGGAGGTAACTCACTACACGAGTTAACAACGCACTACATAGAGATACAACCACGATCGGATGATAAGAGCATATCATTTGTGACTCAATGAGAGCTGTTTCAGTACTATAGTACGGTCTAAATCCTGAAAATAATCAAACAAATAACGAGTTGACATCAACACGATTCTATCTGGTCTAGAAACCATGTTTTGTCACGAAAAACCACGCAATAAAACGAACCAGAAATGACGCGAAACTGCAGAGAAGAACACAACACGCGAATATGGACTTCAGACAGAAACTAGTGCTGCACACTGTTTGCTCGACGATCTGCTCTGAGAAAAAAAAAATGCAAAAAAGAAAAGAAAAAGTAAGATTTACCTGGTGTCCTCAACCCATGCGTTGCTATGATTGGCTGTACTCATGACATCACTGAGATTGAGTCGCGCGACTGCTCGAGATATCTAGCGTGCTAGATATTTTTCTGAGCTCGGTGACCTGTCTGCGAGGTGTCTGCGAGCTGTCTTTGGTGCGTTGTTGGCTCTTTCACACTAACGGATTGGCGAGCGTTAATCGTCCGCTAATCGCCCGCGATTTGCACGCGATAACACCCTGACTTGTCGGCGACTCAACGATTTGCAAATCGGGCTTAAATCGGGCTTAAAATCACGTAGTGTGAACTAGGCTTAACTGGAAACACTTCAGGAATGTCGAAGTCGTCATCTGATTGGTTGAATTTTATCGGATTTCCGGGGGGCGTCAGTGTCGCGTTTATTTTCGGTCCGCCGGGAAACAAAGCGCAGATTTGTGATTGCGGAAAAAAATCCACTAGATGCATGCATCCACTAGATGTGCTAAACTAAAGGCTAAAGGGAATGTAGTGAGTGCGCGGCGCCGGAGGTGAAGGGTTTATTTAGTAGGCGTGAGCGCGCTGGGGCGGGGACGTAAATTACATTCGCAGCCTGACTCATGCGAGTATTCAATGTGCGGCAGCTCGCTGCCAGCTAACGTTACAGCTGGCTGTTTTGAATGAGACGAGCCGGTTACTGTGAACGGGGAGCGCTTTATGAACATAACTGTGACGCTCGAGCAGCGCCGGGGACAGTGTGTCTGTTAAGAGTAAGCGCTCGTGAGCGGGCACGTGATTTACACACATAACCTGATTTATACGAGGTTGAACTGGCCGTGTGACAAAGCGAGTTCGTGGGTGAATTTAATAACGCGGAGCATTGTTAACGAGCGCCTCCGGTGACTGCTGCTGACTGCTGACTGACTTGTTGCACGCCGGTCTGTTGTTGAGGGGACATGTACACGCCCCGAAACGTGACGCTGAATGAAACGAACTGTAATTGGTTGTTTGACATGTCGGTCAAACGGCCTTATGGGCGGGCCTTGGCCAAAGAAAGCTGCTATGAATTCCAGACCTTCAGCCGTCAGTCTGAAGGTCTGGCTACGCGAGACTAGGTTTAAAGGCTTGGGGAAAAGGGGGAGGCGGTAACCAAAAGGGGGAGACCCTGCAAACGATCAACTCAATGATGCAAAGCCAACAACCAAACGAAAGTAAAGCGGCAGCCCCTCACGAACGCTCGGTCTGATTTTCCGCTCTTCGAAGGATGTAGCCTCTGAATAGGGATGCAGCTACTGTATAGTAGTTAGTTACTACATTCTTTTGACTCCTTACAAGGGAGAACATTTTCCAAGGATCATGTCAAAATCATAACATAAACCCAAATGATTTCTGTCTTGTGTGAACTTTTGTTATTTCCTTTTCTGTGCCATGATTTGTTAGCGTGGCTGCCGTGGCATGCCAGACCTACATCAAGATGTTTGGTCTGGGAGGGGCCAGGGGCGGGATAAACGGTTGTCTTTCAAATTCTCTCTACACGCAATTGGATAGCGCTTTAACCAATCAGAGCAACAAAGAAGGTGACGTAGTCAGCGGAGCAAGTTGATATATACATTTATATATATATAAATATATAATATATATATATATATATACATTTTATATATATATATATATATATATATATATATATATATATATATAAAAAAAAAAACTTTTACGGTATCCAGTCCATAAAACTTCAAGTGGACCTCTAGGTTAAAAAGCGTCAATGCAAGTGAATGAGAGAAAATAATTATTTTTGGATCCCGTTTGAATTGTGCCATGAATGTGACATATGTTGTCTGTGATTTTTTTTATATAATTACATATGTAATTATACATATATTTACATATGTGTGAGAAAGAGACTGTGTGTGTGTGTGTGTGTGTGTATGAGAGAGAAAGAGACGGTGTGTCATTAAAAAAATAATATGATAGAGAATGTTTAAATACTAATATCAGCTTACGAAGAAAACGGAGGCGGAGTAGTGGTGCTTCGAAGGCTGAGTGCTGAAGATGATTCTGAGGTCAGTTACCAATCAGAGCGCGCGCTGACACTTGAGTAAATAAAGCCTTTATACTTGACGCAGTGTTGCCAGATGTACGATAATTATCGTATTTGTACCATAATTTTGACCTCTGTGCGATGTACGATCAATAATGAAAAAAATCCCATAATGTACGATAATTTCAGATTTTTGTGATCGGGGGTCATAATCATAGTGCTTCTATACTCATTGATCTAGCTGTTGATTTACGTCATGCTTGTGAGGATAAAATGAAGGCAAGAGAGCACGGTATGAGGGAGAGACTGCGTGTGTGCGTCTCCCCCGCTCCCGTCATCAATCCAGTCGATTCTCTCAGCAACGCGTCATAGTTGGGGGGCGTGGTCGGCATGGGGGAAAGCAGCGTATGTATTTGAATGACAAAAATGTCATATTGCGAGTCATTGACGGCTGCCGACCGGCAACGGTACATTGCAAAATGAACTGTAATAGGTTATGATTGCCTTTATTTAATTAAAAACTGGGTCAATGACCCACCAAATGGCCGGAGGTGTCGTTTCCAGACTATTATCTGGTTGAATCTCCAGGTAAGACATCGTGGTAGCTACTGGTAACATAAGCCTAACTCAATCAACTAAGTTGATATAAGTTATTGTAAGTCCACAAAACCTTTTCACTTAACAACTGTACGTAACCTTCACTCCAAACTATTAATCCTTTTGTAAAACGGTGATCAGTAGTAACCTCGAAATTGCCGAGGGGTTTTGCTGACAGAATCCGAATTCTCACAGACTGCACTCTCACTCTTTATTGAGCTGATAACCTTAAGCTGATAACGCTAATGTGAATGAGACATCCCTTAGGACAAACGAATCTTGTAGTATTTTAGGACAAAATATTATACAATATTATACAAAATATTACGTAATTCCTTTTATAAAAATACTATAGTATTTTACAGAGGAAGCTATTACAGAACATCAGAGAAGTAATATAGAATATTATAGATATATAATATTCTATCTATAATATTTAATATTATAGATATTATTGTCACGGGTGTCGGTGCAGGCAGAAGGACAGGCAGAGTCCAGATTCCAACGAAGATTAAATATTTTAATTCAAATACAGGCAGGAAGACGGGGTACACAGCGTAACATCGAACATTGACCGACAACCACAGACTGAAGGAGGGAGAACTAAATACACAGGGGAATCAGGACTAAATGAGGTGAAGACAGGTGAAACAGATGAACAGGACGCTGAACGGGAGGCTGATGAGGGAGTGAGTTCAGGTGTGCAGACGAGAGGATCATGGGAAGTGTAGTGCTGGAGACGCAGACAGGATGGTGCAGACGAAGGACTGTGACAGAACTCCCCCCTCCCGGGAGGCGTGACCTCACGCCGCATAACAGAGGAAGGAGGGGGGACGAACTGGGGGCTGGGCGGGGCGTGGCCCGGGCGGAGCAGGCTGAGGGCGTCCCCAGGGCGGAGCAGGCTGAGGGCGTCCCCAGGGCGGAGCAGGCTGAGGGCGTGGCCAGGGCGGAGCAGGCTGAGGGCGTGGCCAGGGCGGAGCAGGCTGAGGGCGAGACCAGGGCGGAGCAGGCTGAGGGCGAGACCAGGGCGGAGCAGGCTGAGGGCGAGACCAGGGCGGAGCAGATGGAGGGAGGACCCCTGGTGGAGCCGATGGAACTGGTGCCGACTGACGGGGCGGAGCAGATGGGAGAGGAGACCAGGGTGAAGCTGAGGGACAGACGACATAGGGTGCTGAGGAGGGACCGAGGGACCATGGTGACACCGTAGGCTTTGGTGACTGAAGTGACGACAGGGGCACAGAGGGACACGGTGAGGTCAGAGGGCGTGAGGGCTGA